CCAGGATTTGCAGAGGTTGGATCTTGAAATGGCCGTCACTGTCGAGCTCAGGTAAGTCGCAAGAAGGTAAGTGTGTCTTCTTGATAACTTTCTTTAACAGTGAAACATGGAAGGTAGGGTGAATTTTCGAATCTGCTGGGAGATCAATTTTGTATGCAACTGAACCAATTTTCTCCAAAACCTTGTAAGGCCCATAGTACCTTGCTGATAATTTCAAGTTTTTCCGGAGAGACACAGAATTCTGTTTGAAAGGTTGCAACTTTAAGTACACCATATCCCCTACTTCAAACTGTCTCTCTTGTCTTTTGCTATTTGCATAAACTTTCATTCTATTCTGTGCATCATTGAGGTTCTTTTTGATATGCTGTGTGATGGTTTGTCTTTGCATGATGATGTCTTTTGCTTCTGTGTGGTATGAGTCTAGGAATGGCTGTAGAGAAAATTGTGGGGGAGGGTAGCCATATAGAGCCTGAAAAGGGGTAAGCTTTAGGCTAGAATGGTAGTTAGTATTGTACCAAAATTCAGCCAAACTAAGCCATTTTTCCCAGAGCTTAGGATTCTCATGGACCATGCATCTTAGATAAGTCTCTAGGCATTGATTGACTCTCTCTGATTGGCCATCAGACTGAGGGTGGTAGGCTGTAGTCATGTCTAGCTTGACTCCCATCAGTTTGAAGAATTCCTTCCAAAAAATGCTTGTGAAAATTTTGTCCCTGTCACTCACAATGCTGACTGGCTGACCATGCAATTTGTAGATAGTGTTCATGAAGAGGGTAGCCACCCCTTGGGCAGTAAAAGGGTGTGATAGTGATAGGAAGTGGGCATACTTGGTGTACCTGTCCACCACTACCATAATCACATTTTTCCCATTGGATTTGGGTAAACCCTCAATAAAGTCCATAGTGATATGAGTCCAAGCTTGGCTTGGGATGGGCAGTGGTTGCAACAACCCATGATAGGCCCCATGGTCAGATTTGCTTTTTCTGCACACTTCACATTGGTTCACCCAGGTTACCACATCTTTCTTCATCAAAGGCCAGAAAAAACTCCTTTTAAGTCTCAGCAAAGTCCCTTGTATCCCAGAGTGACCTCCATATGGGGAGTCATGTATGGCTGCAAGAATTTCCTTCCTCAAAATGACATCTGCACCCACTACAACTCTGCCACAATGCCTGAGTAGTCCTCCAGTATAAGTGAAATTAGCATAGGTGTTTGGGTCCACACTATTTGCTTGAATAATTTTCTGACAGAAAGGGTCTTTAGCATATGACTTAGTTATCTTCTGAACCCAGAGAGGTGCTACTGTTGAGAGAGGGTAGCATTCTGCCTCTTTGCCCATTTTTCTTGAAAGGGCATCTGCCACCTTGTTTTCAGTTCCTTTCTTATACTGGATTTCATAGTCCAGTCCCAAGAGTTTAGTGAGCCCCTTTTGTTGGGTAGGGTTCATGGTTTTCTGATCTAAAAGGAATTTGAGTGCTTGCTGGTCAGTTTTTATAACAAATTTGTGCCCCAGTAGGTAGCTCCTCCATCTCTGTACTGCCATTAAAACTGCTAGAAACTCTCTCTCATAGATTGATAAGGCTTGGTTCTTAGGGCACAAAGCTTTGCTCATGTAGGCAATAGGCCTTCCCCCTTGCATAAGTACTGCTCCCACTCCAAAACCACTTGCATCAGTTTCTAGAATGAGAGGCTGGGTAAAGTCTGGCATAGCCAAAACAGGAGCTGTAACCATTGCCTCCTTGAGTGCCTTGAAAGAGGATTCAGCTTCAGGTGTCCACTGGAATTGATCATTCCTCAAAAGGTTAGTCATAGGTTTGCTGATGAGTCCATATCCTTTTACAAACCTCCTGTAGTAGCCAGTTAGCCCAAGGAAACCTCTGAGTTGCTTGAAATTAGTTGGTACAGGCCACTCTACCATACTGGCAATCTTTTGTGGGTCAGTTGCCACCCCTCTGTGGGAAATTATATGACCTAAATACTCAATCTCAGTTTGGCCAAACTGGCACTTAGACATTTTTGCATAGAGTGAATGTCTTTTGAGTTCTCCCAACACTATTTCCAGATGAACCAAATGATCCTCCCATGTGGCACTATATGTGAGAATGTCATCAAAGAACACCAGAACAAATTTCCTTAAGTAAGGTCTGAAAACTTGGTTCATTAGGGACTGAAAAGTAGCTGGTGCATTGCACAACCCAAAAGGCATCACCATAAACTCATAGTGTCCATTATGGGTGCTAAAAGCTGTTAGGTATCTGTGCTCTGGCCTCATGAGGATCTGAAAATATCCTGATCTGAGATCAATTTTAGAGAAGAACTTTGCCCCATGCAATTCATCCAAGAGTTCATCTATGACAGGTATAGGGTAGTCATGTTTGACTGTGAGATTGTTCAAGTATCTGTAGTCCACACACATCCTCCATGTGCCATCTTTTTTCTTCACCAATATGACTGGTGAAGCAAAAGGACTATGGCTGGGTTGAATGATACCATTGTCCAACATCTCTTTTACCAATTTCTCAATCTCATTTTTCTGTGCATGAGATGTTCTGTAGGGGTAGTGGTGCTTTGGTACACTATCTGGTTTCAACAGTATCTGATGCTCAATTCCCCTCTCTGGTGGTAGCCCTTGGGGCTCCTGAAAAACCTCAGTGTACTTTCCCAATAATTGTTGCATCCTGGGGTCCACCTTAGGCTGATTTGTGTCCCTTGTTAAGAGATAGATTTCTTCAACTTGGCTGCACTCTTGATGAACCAATCTGTACAGAGCCTCCCCTGTGATGAATTTACAGTCCTTAGTTGAGGTTAATGCTTGAAGCTTGACTCTCTTTCCTTGCAAACTGACTGTAAAGGTCATTCTCTTATAGTCCAACTCAATTGGAGTACAGGACTTTAGCCAGTCCCCCCCTAGGATTATGTCACACCCTACATTTTGTAGGATTCTCAGGTTGTAGATGAACTTGTGACCCTGCATATCCCAAGTAAACCCATCTACTGTTTTTGTACTAACCATCCTTTGTCCATTTGCCACCTTCACCATGATTGGTTTGGCTGTTATAGGGTTGCAATTCAGTTTTTTTGCAGTAGCTTCTTGTATGAAGCTTAAAGTGCTCCCTGTGTCAATCAAAATATGCAGCTTATGTCCTTCACACTCCCCAAAGAGCCTCATGGTAGTGAGGCCACTTTCACCTGATAATGCATTCAGTGTCATTTGTATTTCTTCCATCTCTTTCCCTTCAAAGGATCCTTCATTGGTAACCTCACTTGATTCCAGACAAGATATCTCTTCTTCCTCTGTCATGATCATGTAATTGATCCTGCTTTTACACCTATGTCCCATCACATATTTCTCATCACAGTTATAACACAAGCCTTTCTCCCTCCTTGCAGCCATCTCAGCTGCAGTGAGCAGCTTGGTGGGTGGTTTGTACTGCTGCCCTTGGTAGGGTGGTCTGGTAACTCCACTAAACTCCCCTTTCTTAATTGGACTGGTGTATGCTGGAGAGAATTTAGTGTGTTTGGCCTTTTTTACTATAGCCTCCATAGTGCACAACTGTTTCCTCCCCAGATCTATAGCTTGTTGAAGGGTTTTAGGCTCAAACATGTTAACAAAAGCTTGTAATTCTTCACTTAACCCACTCAAAAAACTGGCAATAAAGTATTCTTCAGAAAATTCCCCACCATTAAACAACATCATACAAGATTTCAATTCTTCAAACTTGTCAACATACTCCTCATAAGAACCAGAGTGTCTCAGTTTATTGAACTCCCCTATGATTTTTGCCTCTTTGATTTCTTCAAACCTAGAGGATATAACTTCTAGGAATTGTGCCCAGGTGCACCCCTCATATTTTGTGCTGAAAGTGTGGTACCATTGTGCTGCCCTGCCCTCAAAATGCATAGAAGCTAGAATGATTTTTTGAGAGTCTGGTATGTTGGGTATGATTTTGAAGTACCCATTGCATTTCAAGATCCAGCTTCTAGGATGTGTTCCATCAAACCTGGGGAAGTCTAATTTGGGCATAGGACTGATGAAGTGATTTGGTGTTGACTGTTCGAATTGTGGTGGGGTTTTGGTAAATGATTGCTGTTTAGATTGAAACCCTGAGTTGATGAAATGCTGATTTGGGTTTCCCAAAATGGATTCCTCCTCTCCTGTGGATTTGCTTGTACTCATATTCAACAGTTGTAACTGAATTGCAGCCAACACATTTGCCATATTGTCATATTTCTGGTCTAAGTGACCCATTTTATCTTGCAGTTCAGAATTCATACCCACAAGCTTACCTTGCAGTTCTGAGTTCATGCCCACCAGCTTACCTTGCAAATCAGATGTAAGCCCGGCCATCTGCTCTTGTAATTTAAGCTCGATCGACTCCCGTTTCATTGTTTCAGTTTGAATGATTTTATCCAATTTTTTCTGATTTTCCTGCAGCTCTTTGAGGCGCGTGTTTTCAGCCATGCCGAGGAACGCTGGGCTCTAGATACCAATTGTAACAATCTGTTTGTATTTACTGTAATTTTCTGTATATTTTAGGTATTTTAGATTAGTGAATTGGGGAAGAAGATACAGATAGAGAGAAAGTAGACTGTAGAGAGAGAAAGGGGGAGAGTGAGAGAAAACTGTAACAACTTTTCTGCATTTCTCCACAATTTCAGATGCTTACATAGTGTGCAACAACATTTGCCACTTAATTCCCGTTCTACCCTTAACTCAAGATAACTAAACTGAACTTCACATATTTAAAGCCCAAAACTAATAACCAAATTTATCCCCAGCCCAATTAAAATAACTAAGACTCAGCCCAACTTCAAACCCAAAAATAACTTGAGAACCCTAATCGACTTCAGCTCGATCATTTCCCATTTCTTTCCCAATCTCGCTCAACACTTCATCTTCTCCGGCGATCAACACCAAACCTTCACCTTTTTCCATCTCAATCGTAAAGTCTTCACCTTTTTCGGCCTTTTCTCTTTTTCGCCCCTCACTGTCTTCGCTTCCTTCCTGTGGGTCTATGACATATCGCTGCTTTAAATCTTTGCCAACTCCGAGTACTGTTTGTCCAGGACTCTAGGTGCAAAGGTACCTCTTGGATGCTATGTATATCTTTCGGTTTGATATTGCCTAATCCTATTCCAACTAGATCTAGCGTAGCCTTTGTCTAAGCCCCAATTAGGTGCTAAGTTGTAAATAACGACGAAAAAGGGATAACCGACTTGTTATGTTCTGTCCCACTTCTTATTCAAATATATCTAACCTTGCTTATGAATTTTCTATACATACCTGCTTTTTCAAGATTGCGATCATATCTATTGAGAGAATGACTTTTGAGCTATAGCTACTTGGATTTGTAACTGTGTTCATTCTTTTATTTTTAATTTTTTTGATATGGAAACATTGGAATACCAAACTTTTATCATGTATTTTGGATTTAATGCTTCTCACTATAATCGCAGGGTCTGTCATACCCCTGAGTAGCATTGGACATAGCTTCATACCCTTGTATAGTGAATAGTGATGGTGAAAGCTTGTCTTGTTTCTTTTACTTGGCTGGCTTAGTAATATAGCTGTACCTGATTTTTTTGTAACACCAATAATATTTGGAAAGAGAAAAAAGTTAAAAAGTGATGAGAAAAAAAAAAAAATTATTTTGATTGCCCCATGTAAAATTGATTTAAAAAAAAAAAGTGAAAAAGAAGAATGGGGATAAAAGAAAGAACCAAAAAGTTCAAAAGAAAAAGAAGGAAAAGAAAAGAAAAAAGAGAGGATAGACAAGAAAGAATGCAAAAGAAGTGTGAAGTAAATTCATTGTGTTTTCCTGTGAGGGGGCAAGTCTTTTAATTTTCACTTGTGGTGTATCACCTGGGAGGAATGTAGTCATGATGGTGAATTGCTCATGGGTCCTTTGCGCATTACAAGAGAGGAAATGGTGATTCGCATGACATGCTGAGTGGCCAAAGCGCTTTCAGTTTGGTGTTTCAGGTTTGGTTGCTTATTGAGCTCAATTTAGTGAGGTGATATTACTCTGATGTGGCCTTATTCTGCTCGCTTGATCTTCTCATCTTTCCCCAAGCACTGTTTGGAGAAGGCTATCTCTTTTAAACGCCCTTGACGTAGCCATTAATTGCCTGGTATTGTTCGGAGGAAGCTCAAAAACATCACTTCTCCATGAATTAATGCATGAGATATATGATCTGATGTGCTGGGGAACAGCATGATTCACACTCCTCTGCTGAAGCCTTGCATACTCGTTCATTCTCATTGGGCCATCGAGTGTATATCATTGTCACTGCCTTATACATATAGAGAGAGTTCTTTAGTCTTCTCGAGATCATGCTCGTTACCTGTATTTTCTCTCCCGAATTCAGATATGATACAATTAGCATTTTATAATAATTCTTTGATCGATGAAGCTGGATCAGTAACTGAAAACTTAAGAACTGCACATTTTGTAGTTTAAATCTTGTCCTAATTCATCCTCTGCTGTACCTCGACACATTTGAAGGAAAGGCATATCCAGATGTCAAATAATGGAAATCAATTTTGTTAACGAGAGCTCTATTGGAGCAAATATGATTTTGATTGAGAAAGTGCCTTGCTGTGCTTGTGGTTATCAGCTGAGGCCAAATACTTATAATTTTCAATAATGTGTAGTTTGGTAGTACTGGGGATGTTCGCTGATGCAACTATGCGAAAACATGTCGGATAATCATAAAATATGCGACGTTCGATTTATGCGATAACAGAATATGCGAAACGTTATCGCTTATGGTAAATTATGTGGATATGTGAACTATGAAAAAACATGTTGCATATTATCGCTTCACTCATTCAATCTCAATCTTGTATTGCAGGTGGATTATGCATGCACCCCGGAGGAAGTTCAGCAGCATTTTCAAGCATGTGGAACAGTCAACCGTGTGACCATTTTGACTGATAAGTTTGGTCAGCCCAAAGGTTTTGCGTATGTTGAATTTCTTGAGCAAGAGGCCGTTCAAGAGGCCCTGCAACTGAATGAATCTGAGCTGCATGGGCGTCAATTGAAGGTTTGATTGAATCAATTTATCTATATAATCAAAAGTGCTAACCTACAAATTTAGTTAAGTTATTAAAAAGCACTGTTGTAAAATTCGGCCTTGGCAGCACCGGGCAACCCGAGAAATAGAAAATTAGTAAACATATGGCTAGGCAGCCTAGACGGTTCTAGGCGGCTACTGTTTCGTAAAAAAAGGTAATAGTTGTAAAATAAATAAAATAGTCGCCAGCTAGGTGTTGGGCAGCCATACACCATCCAATTTGCGCCTTGCCAAAAAAATATATATATATATATATATATTCTTTAAATTACAACTTCTCCACCTTGAGGTTTGTATGTGCTATAAAAATGACCTCAATTGGGTTCAATTTGTGAACAAGTACCGTCTTGAGGTTTGAATGTCCCATTTACCAAGTATATGAAGAAGTCTTTTTGGAATTGGCACTGATTAGTATTTTAATTAGCTATTATATATTAGTTTTTACTATAGTATTTAATGGGTTGGTCCTTAGTTTATGTTAATATTATAGTTAGAGTATAATGGGCATCTAAAAATAGATGGAAAATACCAAAAATTGTAACAAGAAAATATCTGCAAAATGGTACTTCCTTTATAGTTTCTCTCTACTTGCTCCCTTGTGTTCCCTGATTATTATTATTATTATTATTATTATTATTATTATTATTATTATTATTATTATTATTATTATTATTATTATTATTATTTATTATTTATTTATTTATTTATTTATTTTGTGTGTGTGTGTGTGTGACACATATTGTAGTTTACGACTTATTTGCCCAGAAATATTGCAAATGCGCCTTAAACTTTGCATATGCAAACACAAGTTACCCACCAATGGGCAATAGGTTGCATTTTGTATAGTATAAATACTTATCTGACGGGTGGTTGTGATTTCGACATACGCCCAAGTTTCTTTTGTAATTCGAGGAGCCTAAGGGATCGGTGTGTAACCTTCCCCTAAATATTAATGATTTAAAATGTTGGCTTATTGTTTTGGTTTGGTCTTTATTATGCATCAGAAAATTATTTACCATTTTATATGCAGGTCATGGCCAAAAGGACAAATGTTCCCGGGATGAAGCAATACCGTGGAAGAAGATTCAATCCTTACTTTGCATATGGTTTTAGGAGACCCTATGTACCCCCTTTTTACTCACCATACGGGTACAAATGAGTTTCTATTAATTTTTCCTTCAATGTATTTAATGTTTTAGTTAAAATTAGGGATAATTAAACTACCCTTGAGGTTCAATGTATTTATGAAAAATCCATTTTTATCTTTTAAAATTATGCCCATGAAGATTAAGGTAACTAACAACTTAATTACTATTATGTAATGCAGCAAAGTTCCAAGGTTCAGGCGCCCAATGCGTTACATGCCTTATTATTGAGTTAACTATTCCATTGCGGTTCATCCACAGATGTCGAATGTTGGTCATCTGGTCAGACTCGTTCGCTTAATCTATTTGGTCTTAATCGACTGTAACATACTGTGACGTGAGCTGTTTAGTGGTTAGAAGTACTCGACTTTGGGCTTTGTAAGGGTTATACGCTCTATTCATTGCCTTTTGTATTATCTATTTGGTGGTCAGCAATCGTGTTAGAACATAATCGGGGTATACTTTTTCCCCTACTGCTATCCTTAAGTTAACTATTTTTTTTTTCTTTTTTTTTTGGGGTCTATGAACTTGCAATGAAAGATGATTTTTTTCCTCATGAAAACAGTGTTATTTAGACATGTACAGACAATGGGTTGTGCTATGGCTGCTATAGAATATTAATTCACACTTGCGGGCTGCGTAATATATATGGTCTTGATACTAATTAAAACCAAGAATATTCAACATAATACGGAGGTGTTTATTAGTCAGCTAATGCTATTTGACGAATTGTAAAATAAATTACTGACTTTAGTGCAATTGTACTTTCAAATACAATATTTCAAACATTTATTACATCATACAGAAAATTAGAAGTATATGATTTTTTTTTAGGTGGAACTTTGTTCATGGACTGCCTAGAATTTATAGTTTGAAGCGACAAATGCAAGTGTGAAACGGGGGCAAAACGAGCACGGTCCCACAGGGTAAGCGCACCATAATAGGGTGAGTCTAGGTGCACCATAGTGAGATTTCATCCCAAAACTAATTGGTGATGAGAAGTGTAGCCTAGGTTCAGTAAGGTACAAAATGCTAGGATTTAGAATTTGTGATTGCATCTTGGTCGAATTTATGTTTCGTCGCTTACATACCGGAAGTTGTAGTTCTATACTTATTTTTTTTATTAATGCATGTTGATAAACGGATTTGATCAACTTTTAATATTCGTATTTTTAGATTAATACCGTAGTGAGACGATTTTATTAAATAACTGGGAATTATCTAAGAAAATATCAAGTCGGTATTCCGAGGACTTGAGGTCGGTTTTTCTCGTACAATAATGCTAAAGTTGGCGATAGCCGAGGTGATTAATGCAGAATTTATGTGTCGGGAAAAAGATCCTCGTATTGCCTTTATTGCTGCTATTTATAGTAACTGGGGGCTCATCTTTTGAGGAGATTCGGCGGCATTTAATGAGGAATGACATCTGCGCAGCTTTTTCTGTCTGTGGGGCCCCCTCGCGCAATGATGTCTCCACATGGGCTCTGAACAGTCGATGGTACTTGCATTAAATGCTGCCTGTCTGCTCCGACGTCGGCCTGCGCCCGAGGTTGCTTCATTCAGGAGGTCGGCTTCCAAACAAGGTCGGCTTCCCAATGAGGTCGGCCACCACAGGTCGGGCAACGTTTTCTCGGCACTTTTCGGCTTGCCCCCTTTACTTTCTCGTCGTCCACGTGTCGACCATCCAACGCTTAACCTAGGTTCAACAGTAAGGTACAAAATGCTAGGATTTAGAATTTGTGATTGCATCTTGGTCGAATTTATGTTTCGTCACTTACAGACCGGAAGTTGTAATTCTATACTTTTTTTTTTTTGATTCATGCAAATGCTAGGATTTAGAATTTGTGATTGCATCTTGGTTGAGTTTATGTTTCGTCGCTTACAGACCGGAAGTTGTAGTTCTATACTTATTTTTTTTTTGTTCATGCCACAATTTGCAAGAAATGAAAATTGTGACCTAAATAGTCAAAATTATAAAGCTTTGCTCAAATTGCAATTTAAGTAAAATTCGTGATTTGTTTTGCGAACAAAACCCGTTTTTTAAAGAAAGCTGCATATTTCTATGACTATGATGACATGTTATATGTAGAAAACAATCTAAATATTGGATCCGTCCACAAGTCGGTGAATGACATGTAAAACAGTGTCGGGGTTGTATCAGCGTAGAAGCTCCGAAGCCAAAATCAGTAAACATTGATCAAAAAGATAATGAACCATATAAATATTAGTGTGTAGAGTTCTAATGATCATATCTTACCCTTAAATATAGCGGTCTTACCATGTTGCCCAAGACTGTCCGACTGGGCTGCCCGAGCACCCGATCTACCCCGATCGTATTGCCCAAGGGCCCAAACTACCCGATTTTGTGTGGTCTTATCTTTGTGTCCTTATTTTAGTTATATTCATCCTTATCTATTATGTGGTATATTCACATTTACCTCATTATTAGGTAGCATAATTGCTATTAGTTCGGTTTTCCCTTAACTATGTCACTATGACCTTCGACGAGTAAGTTTATTCGCTAGGTTGTACATCGACCTATAAGCCTCTAGGTTGTGTTTCCATCAGGCTAGCTAATAGTCCTAGCTCGACCTATCGTCGTATTATTTTGCTTTATGAGGTCACCGTTTGTCTGGTGTTTCCACGACCGTTGACATCCTTGTTGTCCGATCGACCTGTCGGTTCATTTGATTCGGTCGAACCATTCTTAGCTCATATGAGACCTAATTATGTTTGTATGGTATCCCATGTCACTTGGTCCCCCGCTCTGGTCGAGTAGAAATAACTCGATCCAAAAATAGAATTGATTTTTTCTCACTTCTATGCATTGAGTTCGTAACTTGTCGGACCGACATGCCAGCCCGATCTTCTTTTTATTTCTAGCCAAGACAACCAGTTCGAGCTAAGTACATTGTCTTAAATTCAAAATTTGAAATTCAAACTCCTGACACCTTGTCAGATCAATCTAACATCCCAACCTATCGACATAACCGCCTCGAAGCTCGTCTTGTCCTCGCACAACGCGCCATTTAATGATGGTTCAATCATGTCCACTCAATTTTACGTATATCGGACGGTCCTGATTGACATGTCCCTTCAACTCGTCTTTTGAATCTCGTCCGTCCATTTTGACCTAGAACGAACGGTCCTGTTCAACCATCTCCTTCCTTCTAAATTTCCAATCTTATTCGTCTATTTCATCTTTCATCGGATGGTCGAGGTCGATCGGCTTCCTAAAACTCTTTCCTCTTCTCATATAAATAAGCCTCATTTTTCCTTTTTCTTTTCCACCTTTGCTAAAACTTTCTTATTATATAATTTGTGAAAAAAAAACTCTACTTCCCGCCGTCACTCTCGTAAGCAGAAGAGGCGCGGGTGAGGAAGTGTAGACGAGGGCAACGTCGCGGGCTGCTTGGAAATGACGGAGGATGTGGTTGGACAATCATGGCCAGAATTTGGGCAGAGATTTTTTTTTTAAAAAAAAAAACAAAAAAAAAATTAGATAAATCTTAAGGATCTAATTATAATTTTAAGAACTTATGAGTTATTTTAATTTGATCCTTGGGGTCTATCTGTAATTTATTTAAAGTTTGTATAATTTCACTCTAGCCCTTAACTTTTTTATTATTTTATTACTGCATATTTTTGGTTTATTTCTTGTGCATATTTTGGTAATAGGAAATGCATATTTAGTTTCATTAGTTGAGAACATAAAGATAGCGGATTGAGGATAAATTAGCGGATTGGACTTAATTGAGAGGTTTGACCCGTTAAATCCACTATTGAGCTTGTTTGGTAAATAACTTATTTGATAAGCTTTTTAGGCCCAAAACTCTAATTTAGAAAAAGCTCATTAGAGGAGCTTTTTGGGGATAGAGGATTCACAATCTACAATTTTAATTTAAAATTTTTTAATTTGTATTATTTATTTTACAATCTACATTGGTTTATGATGCTAACAAATAATAATATGTCATCCATATGTTTAATTTATCTGGAAAAATATAAAATTCATAACTTCTTAATCAAGTGTTAGTAAAATTAAAAAAAATATATATATATTTATAAATTGCCCACTAAAAAATATTAAATGTTTTAACATATTATTATTAAAAGAATACACCCTAAATAATAAAATATTCTTATTGGTAATTTGCAATGTCAAACAGCTATAAGCTTTCAGCTATTTACCAAACACTTATTTAAAAACCGCTAATGCAATCCGCTAGTCAAATCAACTAATATAATCCGCTATCCGCTATCCGCTAATACAATTCGCTATCCGCTGATCGCCAAACAAGGCCATAGAAGACTCCTGGATACTGTTGTAAATTACATTTTTTGACTGCACAAATTAATACCAAATTGCACATTTAGTTCATAAGAAGTGCATAATTAGTTCATGAACAATGCATAATTAGTTGATATTATTGTTGCATATTTTGCTCAGTAAAAATACATATTCAATTCATACTAAAAGCATATTTAGTTCATGTCAACTGCATATTTCGAGTACGAATTTATTTCATACACAATTCGTATATGGTTTATAAAAGAATGCATATTAGCATGCATATTTAGTTCATATCAATTGGATGTTAAGCATGCATATTTAGTTCAAACCGGTCAATATTTTTATATTATAATATTAATTTGATATTCTTTTTTTTTTATTATATAATTATTGTAATACATTATGCCTATTTATGTAATAAGAAATGCGTATTTAATTTATTTTAGTGCATATTTAGTTCCTGTGAGGTCCAAAGCCATTTATTTGTGTTGATCAATGACTTATATTAATCAATTGAAATTTATTTTAATTATATAATAGAAATAGTAATTAATATATTCTAAATTAATTATATAAAATGCACATTTAGGGCGTGTTTGCATACAAATATATCTGCTCACAATGAGTTTTCGTGGTTAACCATAGTTAATTTTGAAAAAAAAAAGTGGCTTTGTTGGTTGTTAGTAGAATTTTGTTTTTATATTAAAATTATATTTAAATAAATAATTAAAGTTGATTTGATGTTAAAGTAGGAGAGAGATGATGTGAAGTGATAGTTAGTGAAAATGATGTGAGCGAAAAAATAGTAAATTAAAGTTGATGTAATGTGCAAAAATAATCGGTTGATATTATTTAATTATATTGATAATATTAAGAATAATATAGTTGAGTTAAGTTGAATTAGATTTTGAGTGTGAATTGAGTATATATTAAGCTT